GCTCTGAGGCAAACTTATACAAACAGAACAGTAGAGAAGGGCAATGCCACTTCGCGAATTATTCTATTTGCATTTTCCTTTTTAGTTTATTTATTTTTATTTTATGTACATCGGTGTTTTCCCTGCAGGTATGTCTGTATGAGGGCTTCAGATCCCCTGGAACAGGAGTTATAGACAGTTGTGAGCTGCCACGTGGGTACTGGGAATTGAACCCTGGTCCTATGGATGAGCAGTCAGAAATGATAGCTCTGTAGCTAAGAGCACTTGCTGCTCTTGTAGAAGACCCCCATTTTGTTCCTGGCACCCACATTTGGCAGCTCACAGCAGCCTGTAACTGCAGCTCCAGCAGATCCAAAGCCTCTCCCTGGCCTCTGCAGACACTACATTCGCATTCACATGCATGGTGGAAATAACTATCCGTTTCTTACAGTAGGCACGAAGTTTGGGGGTGTTACCATTGGGAGTTGCATTCTGGCAATGTTTCTTGTCTTCTAGTTAAAATATACTCGCCCTGGGTTACCTACGTTCAGCCAGGAGGTACTGCACAAGTGGAAGACAGATATCAAGAAGTATCATCGCATCCAGTGTCCTAACCAGGTGACTCTTCCTCTTTCATTATATCAGCAAATGCTTCTGGAGAATCTGCTGTTTTAGTTACTGGCTGATTCATGACCAAGTCTTTGAACTGTAGTGGATATGTGCAACAGTTATTGAGTCTGTTCAGAATTGGGGACCTCCATAATTCTGTTGAGATCGTCAGGACAGCCCTGCTGCTATACACAGCATCATTTGAGATCACTCATGGGGGCCATGAACTGGAATGTCCCATGCAGCTGCATTCAGCTGAGCACATGGCACTCCATATGGCATCTCTATCTGCAGGACAGCAGGATTACCAGTAGGGAATGTAAGTGACTAACTTCAGACACAGAAGTAAAAGATGCAGGTCTCTTAAGGTCCCACTGCACAATTTGTACAGCCTCACTTCCATAGCAGCCCTAGTCAAAGGCATCACAGTATATTAGTTCCCTTTCTGTTGCTGTGACACCATGGCCAGAAGCAGCTCACAGGAGGAAGTCTATTTGGGCTCACGGTTTAGAGGGACAAGAGTCCATCACGGTGGGGAAGCATAGTGGTGGGTGCCAGATGTGACGGCGGGTGGCAGGTGTGGCGGCAGGAACGGAAAGCTAAAGGTCCATATCCTCAAAAGCAAGCTTGAAGCAGAGAGCAGACAGGAAATTGAGTGGGACTAATGCTTAAATCCCACCCCCAGTGATGCACTTCCTCCAGCAAGGGTCCACTTCCTGGAAGTTCAACCACTTCCCAGACAGTACCACCAAGTGGGACCAAGGTCTATGGGAGCTGTGGAGGTTTGAATGAGAATGCCCCTATAGGTTCATATGTTTGAATGCTTAGTTCCTAGTTGGCAGAACTACTTGGGAAGGATTAGGAGCTGTGGCCTTGTTGGAGGAGGTATGTCTCTGGGGACAGGCAGGCTTGGAGGTTTCCAAAGTCCAGGCCATTCCCAGCTAGCTTTGACTCTGCTTCCAACTTGTGGGTAATGTAAGCTCTCAGCTACTGCTCCAGCACCATGCTTGCCTGCCTGCTGCCGTCCTTCCCACCATGATGGTCATGGACCGACCCTCTGAAGCTGTAAGCAATTCCTCAATTAAATGCTTTCGTTTATAAGTTGCCTTAGTCAATGGCGTCTCTTTACGGCAATCAAGTAACTAAGACAGGAGCCTGTGGGGCAATATTTCTTAATTCAGACCATCACAGTAGGGCGAACCTAGACTCAGAGAAAATGTGAATGGACTCCACTTCCAATGATAGAGTGGCAGAGATTTTGCTGCTATCTTTAAAATTGGTACCAGAGCTGATAGTGCCGTCCTTTTGGAGGGAATAAATACAAATGTAGTTGATATATTTACACCAAATAAAATAGAGTAAAAAAAAAATAACTGAAACTTTGGGTATTCTGTTAAATGTCAGAGAGAGGACCAGGGAAAGGAACGGCTCAAGCCACTTTCCAAATGAGCTTTGCTCATAGCCGCCATATCTTTCTGCAAAGCTTCCATGTCATGAGTGGTATCTGAATCTTTCCAGACTCCTTGCAGATGATTCTTCACCTTTTCCCAACTTTGACTAGCGTTATAAGGCAGAGGAGTGACACAAATACATTGATATGCTGCATGACACCTAGTCCCTAAATTTTGTAATTGGAATGACTTCCAATGATAAGTCCCACTGTACCTTGTGGTAATTTACCCAAATCTGTAGTCACTCCATCCCATGAGGAGAGGATGACGTCCTGTGAACTTGTAAGATCTAGTCCTGCACTTCCAGGTGTTGTTCTAGGTAAGTCATGGATAGTAAATTCTGGAGCCTCAGGGACGAGGTCTGTATTAGCCTCTCTTGAATTACCGGGGCTGAGAGGATGCCCCTCTTCTAGTTTTTTGAATTAGTGCTCTTATCACCTTTTTCTCCTGTTAAGGAGTTCCATCTTTGTGGAACTTGGATTTGCATACATTCCTCCAGTGTCTTCCTTTCTGACACCGTGGACATAATCCAGGAGCCGTATTTTTATGGTCCTTGTTGCCTTGCTCTGTACGTGCCTTTTGCATGTGGCCTGCTTGCCCACACTTGAAACAGGTGGGCTCTGGGGATTATTGCTGCCCCCATATGTTTTTTTTTATGTAGGTGCTAAATCTCTGTCCTTTCATAGCTGCAGCATATGCCATACCTTGGACAACTGCTGGTGAGGCATCCATGCAAGCCTTGATATAGTCCTGTAGAGTACCTGTCTTTCTCACACATCTGATAAGATCCTGACACAGGGGTTGGCATTTTCCCATGCCAACTGTTTAAGGAGCATGCCAGTCCCCTCTGAGGGGGGGATCATTCTATTAACTGCCTCTTCTAGTCTAGAGACAAAGTCTTGATAGAGCTCCTCATTGGATTGCCTTATACCTGAGAGAGCAGTTCCTTTGGTTCCAAGAGTAGGCAATTTTTTCCATGCATTGACTGCATTGAGGGTAATAGCCTCCAGGACATCTTTAGGAATGGAGGTCTAGACTGAGGAGTGGCATAAGCTCCTGTCCCCAAAAGCATATCCATATCTGGTTTGGCTCTTCTTTTCTTTAAAAAGGAAGTCACAATCTCTTTAGACCTATCTTCATAATCTGTCCTCCAGAGGATATAATCCCCTGGGCTCAAGGTTGCCTTTGCTGTCTGATGCCAGTCAAGGTGTAAGCCATAAACTGGCAACCATGTCCAATATCTGGATGATATATGGTGCTGATGGGCCAGCTGTTTTAACAGCTGCCCGTAGTTCTTTAAGAGTCTTAAGGGGAATAGGTTCCCAAGCAGGTTCTTCCCCACCTAAGGCTTCCACCACCGGGAAGGGGAATGTAGCATCCCCAGTTCACCTTGCTTCTTCCATAGCTCCTCCAAAGCCAGAGGGGATCAGAGGGCGTCTTTTAGGTTATTGCTTCACAGCCTTAATGGGATAGAAATGACCGTGATGGTGGTCCCTATCCTCAGAGGAGCCATAATTAGCTGCCTCCTCATCTAGGTCCCAGTCATCATCGTCATCATCGTTCTTGGCTTTCACATTACAGGTAACTTCTAATAACAGCTCCTTACTACTTGAGGAGGGCTTACTTGAGCTGGTACCATATGATTTAGGCTTTGATGATATTGGCTCAGCCTCATGTACAGAACCTGTCTCCTGCGCTAGACCTTCAAAATCAGTAGAGTCAGTTAGTAACTCCCTCATCTGCAACCACAATGGATATGCATGGGGAGGGAGTTCCCCTTCACCATTTTTCTCAACATATTTTCTCATTTCCTTCCCCACACGTTTCCAATCTGGCAGGGTAAGGGTGCCTTCCTCAGGGAACCAAGGACTCACCTTTTTTAATAAAGGCAAAGAACTCTCCCAGTGATTGCTCCAATACTTTTAATCCCCTGCTTGCCATCATATGCTTAAACACTGACATAAACAGCCTTTCCTGTTTTGACTCATGTTGCCCCATGTTACCTCAAGATTACTTGCCCTTAACCGATGATCCTTTATCGGTGGAACTGCAGCTTCCTGGCAAGAGCTGATCCTAGACCTTGAAAGAAAGAAAAAAAAGAAGGGGGAGAGAATTACCTGTCCCAAGGGTCCCTGTTCAGGTGCCACCTGCCATGGACTGGCCCACCGGGGGTACTATGACCTTAGGAGAACCAGGGCTTGGGTAGTCAGGAAGGCAAGGATTCGGCGACTGACAGACAGACAACACACTCAGAAGTGGTTTGAATCTGCTGCAATTTTACTTCTGCAAATCAGTAGTTTATATACAGAAAAGAAAACTATCAAGTCATACAGGGAACAAGAGCTTGGCAATAATTCAATTACATCATCTTTTTTTTAAAAAAAAGCAAGCACACAATTATTAATAGGCCCTAGACATATCCCTTCACCCACAAGAACTTTATGACCCACAGAGCAGTCTGTGGTTTCTAAACGGAGTACAGTCCCTAGACTTGTGTAGGCTTCTTTGCGGTTGCAGTGTGTCCTTCATCTTATCTCAGCAGTTTTCTAGTTTGTTATACGCTTCCACTTTTCTGGTTCCAATGGCCCACTTAGCCAATTTGGATGCTGCAGACCCTCTCTAAGTCTTTCTTCAGTTCTCCACCACATATCTCTTCTAATATAAAACCTTTTTATCTGCTGGAATATGGACTCTTGAACTTTTACGCCTGTAAGGGGTTCTGCTCTAGTCCTTAAGTTTCCCATGCTGAACTTCCTCAACAGAGGGGCCCACCATTTGCCTCCTATGAGATAACATTTTCTACCATAAATCACTTTAGTTGGGATTCCTAAAGGATTTCTAGTGGGTGAGTGTTCATTCCCTAGAAGTGCCTGAACCTTTCTTTCTTTATTTTGGGGATTTTAAGAAATAGCTCATTCTGCTATATCTGATAAAGATCTATGTCCAGCTTCCCCTTTCCTCCATAGTTCACAACCTAAGCATTCATTAATTTTTGCTGTGATTCATAGATTAATTAGAACATTATCAGAAAAGCAGTTATACAGAACCCATAGCCCAAGGAGCTCATGATCTGTGAAGTACGTCCTCTTTGAGAAGGAAGCATAACACGGGCACTCTGCCAGGGACCTCCAGGGAGCTTAGTCCTGTGGGACACGTATCTCCCGTCCATTATTATTGACATAATTGTTCATGTCACACGGATGACACTGGAGTTGGTGTGGCAGATGTCCTCTGAGTTGGGCCTGGGAACAAGTCCTAAGTCTTTAGACATCAACCCTGTGCCACAGTCACAAGAGATAAAACCTTCTGAGGGGCGCACAGAAACCAAGCTGCTAGATGAGCCCACTCCGGAATTCAAGCATAAGCCTAGACTGCAAGGTAGGGCATCCTGTGACCCGAGTACAGGGCCACAGATTCACTGTAAAAATGTTATGGCACCTAACACCAGAACACAAAATGTAGAATTATCTGAGTTGCACCCTGGTCCAGACCTTCAAGGTATAAAATCTAAGGTGTTCTGCCTGGGGCAGCACTTGGAAGATGTGAATTCTGCATGCATTCCCAATGCAAATTCTCAATATATAAACTCCAGTGGGTGTAAATGTGAGCCATATTTACAAGATATAAATAACTCTGCATGCATTCCAGAGCCAGACCCTCAATGTATAAAGTCTGTGTGGGAGATCCCAGCTGGATCAAGAACAGAGAGGGAGAACAAGGAATAAGAGACCATAATAAATGAAGACCACATGAGAATAGGAAGAAGCAAAGTGCTAGAGAGGCCCACAGAAATCCACAAAGATACCTCCATGGTAGACTACTGGCAGTGGTTGAGAGAAAGCCCGAACCGACCTACTCTGGTGATGGGATGGCCAAACACCCTAATTGTCTTGCTAGAAACCTCATCCAATGACTGAGGGAACCGGATGCAGAGATCCACGGCCAGGCCCCAGGTGGAGTTCCAGGAGTCCAATTGGCGAGAAAGAGGAGGGTTTGTATGAGCAAGAATTGTTGAGACCAAGGTTGGAAAAAGCACAGGGACAAATAGCCAAATGAATGGAAACACATGAACTATGAACCAATAGCTGAGGAGCCCTCAACTGGATCAGGGCCTCTGGATAAGTGAGACAGTTGATTAGCTTGAACTGTTTGGGAGGCATCCAGGCAGTGGGACCGGGACCTGTCCTCAGTGCATGAGCTGGCTGTTTGGAACCTGGGCCTTATGCAGGGACACCTGGCTCAGCCTGGGAGGAAGAGACTGAAACTGCCTGGATTGAATCTACCAGGTTGAACTCAATCCCCAGGGAAGTCTTTGCCATGGAGGAGATGGGAATGGGGGGTGGGCTGGGCGGAAAGCTGTTGGGGAGGGATGGAAGGGGGGAGGACAAGGGAATCTGTGGCTGATATGTAAAATTAAATTAAATTATAAAATAAAATAAATAAAGTCTGTGTGCAATCCTAGGCCACATTTACATGGAATGAATTCTTCTGTATGCATTTTAGGACCAAAATTGCAAAGTGCAGATTATACTGGATGCATCCATGAGCCAAACTGGCAAGATGTAAATTCTTCTGTATGCACACCAGGGCCAAGTCCTCAGTGTGTGAATTCTTCTGTATGCACCCCAAGACCAAGTCCACAGTGTGTGACTTCTTTTGTATGCACCCCAGGGACAAGGCCTCAGTATGAGAATTCTTCTGTATGCATCCCAGGGACAAGTCCTCAGTGTGTGAATTCTTCTGTATACACCCAAGGGCCAAGTTCTCAGTGTGTGAATTCTTCTGTATGCACCCCAGGGCCAACTCCTCAGTGTGTGAATTGTTCTATATGCACCCCAGAGCTAAGTCCTCACTGTGTGAATTCTTCTGCATGTTCCCCAGGGCCAAGTCCTCCATGTGTGAATTCCACTGAGTGCCATCCTGAAGCATATATGCAAGGTGTGAATCAATGGGCATCAATTCTAAGGCCACACATTCAGTGTGTAGGTTCTACTGGGCGCAATCCTAAATCACATTATCAAGGTGTGAATCCTTCTTCACTCAATCCAGGGCCAAACCCTCAGTGTGAACATTCTAATAATAGGTGTAGTCTTGAGCCACTTCTTCTTGGTATGAATCCTGGTACAACATTTCCAGCACCACAGATTATGTGTGTAAGTTCTGTTCGGGGCAATACCAAAACACATTGGCAAGATGTGGATTCTTCTTCCTGTACTAGAAGACAAGAGTCACAGTCTGTAAATTCCACCGGATACAACCCTGGGCCACATTTACAAGCCCCGAAACCTCAAGATATGAATTTTTCTGAGTTGAACTCAGGGACAGGAATTCAAAGAGAGATGCCTATAATAGTTAACCAAGGACGACACATACAAGATTTGAAGCTTGAATCAACTCCAGGGTCAAATATTATAGATGTAGCACCTGTAGAATACAACCTTGGGCCACAGGTACAGAGTGTGAATTTTTCTGAATTGAATTCAGGATTAAAATTGCAATGCAGAAATCCAGCGAAGCTTAGTCCAGGGCCACAGTGGCAAAACGTGAAGTCCTTTGAGTTGACCCCGGGTCAGAATCTCAATGTCAAAAATCTGTTCTGTTGAAATCTGGACCACCTTTTCAAGGTGTGATGTCATCTCACTTAACGATAGGGGCAGAGTTTCAAGAGATCCCATTTTTTTCCCCCAAAATAATTAATCTTCTGTAATTGAATTTAATTATGTTGGCTGAAGATCATACCAATTCATATATATTCAGATTTCCTTTGGTATTAGATTTTTTTTTTCAGATCTTCAACATCTAATGTTATATTCAAAGGTTTTACCAATTAAAGACCAATTACACACTAAAAGCTTTACAATTATACGTTTGCTGTGTTTTCACTAGGCATTACCACATTGATAATATTCATAGTTTCTCTTCAGTATGAATTTTTATATACTTGATGATTACTGGGCTATGCAAAGGCTTTACCGCACTGTATAAATTCATGGGGTTTCTCTTAATTATGTCATCTTTCATGAACTTGAAGCGCATTGTGATGAGCAAAAGCTTTACCACACTTATTACAAATGTATGGTTTCACCTCCAGTATGTGTTCTTTCATGCAACTAAAGAGCAGTGTGATGAACAAAGGCTTTGCCACAATGGTTAAATTCATAGGGTTTCTCTCCAGTATGTGCTCTTTCATGCCTTTGAAGATTACTGTGATAAGCAAAAGCTTTACCACACCTATTACAATCAAAGGGTTTCTCTCCAGTATGTCTTCTTTCATGCCTTTGAAGAGTACTGTGATAAGCAAAAGCTTTATGACACTGATTACATTCATAGGGTTTCTCTCCAGTATGTGTTCTTTCATGCCCTTGAAGATGACTGTAATGAGCAAAAGCTTTACCACACTGATCACATAAATATGGTTTCTCTCCAGTATGTGTTCTTTTATGCATTTGAAGATTACTGCGACGACTAAAGGTTTTACCACATTGATTACATTCATAGGGTTTCTCTCCAGTATGTGTTGTTTTATGTACTTGAAGATCACTGGACTGTGCAAAGGCTTTACCACATTGATTACATTCATAGGGTTTCTCTCCAGTATGTGTTCTTTTATGTCCTTGAAGATGACTGGGCTGCGCAAAGGCTTTACCACACTCATTACATTGATAGGGTTTCTCTCCAGTATGTGTTCTTTCATGCCTTTGAAGAGTACCATTTTGAGCAAAGGCTTTACCACACTGATTACATTTATAAGGTTTCTCTCCAGTATGTATTCTTTCATGCAATTTAAGAGCACTGTGACGAGCAAAGGCTTTACCACACTGATTACATTCATAAGGTTTCTCTCCAGTATGTGTTCTTTCATGCTCTTGAAGATGACTATGACGAACAAAGGCTTTACCACATTGATTACATTCATGGGACTTCTTTCCAGTATGTATTCTTTTATGAAATTGAAGAATATTTCGATGGGCAAAGGCTTTGCCACATTGATTATATCCATAAGTTTTTTTAGTAGTATGTGTTGTTTCATGCTTTTGAAGACGACTGTCTTGTGCAAAAGCTTTAATGTATTGATTGTATTCATAGGGTCGCTCTCCAGTATGTGTTTTTTCATACCTTGGAGGATGACTGTGATTTACAAAGGCTTTACCACACTGAGCATGTTCATATGACTTCTCTGTAGTATGACTCCTTTCGTGCCTTCCATGTTTTTGAGAACTTTGACAATGTTCTTCTACTTCAAGATCTTCCCAATTGTAGCCTATATCATTGAAGTTCATATAGGTCTCCAGCATCACATCTTTGTAGAGATTCCTCTGTGCCAGATCCAACAATGCCCATTCATCATGAGTGATGTCAACATGTACATCATTATATGTCACTGGATTCATGTTGTGGGTTCCCAGCTTGTCCATGCTCTCTGCTCAGCTTCCTGCAGCTGCATTCACAACACAGCACACAGAATCAATGGCACCTTCTCCTCTTCGGAGTCAAGCCTGAAGCTGGCTGCTACAAGGACCCTGCACCACTTCTGACTGACAGGTCGCCTAGAGGGCCTGATTGGCTAGTGAGGCCTGAATGAAAAGAGCACCTCCCATAGGGTTACACTATGCTTAAAAACACAGTACAATAATTCCTAAGCCTGCCTTTCCCCGCAGACAGAGATATTTTCTAAATCAGCATATATATGCATTTTAATAGCACTTACCCCCGGCTTCAATACAAACCCTGCTATCTTATTGCATTCCATAGGCACTTTCCCTTCCTCCCCCTGGACACAATGTTACTAGCTAGTGTGCGCAGCCCACTGTACTGTGTGGTGTGGGGTGATTCCCTGTCACACAGGTGGAAGGGTTTCCACAATATTAACACATGTTTGTTCTGCGACTTCCCACTGAGATCAGTTGAACTGAATATACTTTTATCCAGTGGTCACAGAGAATTCAGGCAACCAGGAAAGGAAGCAGGAACCAGATCACAAACAATATAGTAGGTCTTTCTTCCATCAGAAAGCTGGTTGATGGCTCCATTGCTTTAGGAATTTTATCCCTTGTCAGGGTTTCCTAGGTCAGCATGCTCTCTTCTCAACTTCCTGCAGCCAAGAGATCCCATTTTTGAAGAACCAACTTGGGTCGTGGCTGCAAACTGCACAACCTGTGTTCACTTTGAGGCCTCTGTCAAATGGTGTGAAATCTGTGGGAGTTTCACCAACCCCACTGCCTGAAGATAGAATGTCTCCAGAGATGAGCAAACAGCCATTGCTTTGTTTGACAAATTCTGTAAAACTGACACCTGGCTGCAGTCTGCAGGACTTGAGAAGTAAGGAATTTTCACCAGAACCTTGTTTCCAAAAAGTTAAATCTGTGAAGTTGAAGCCAGGTTCACCGACTCCAAGTGTGAACCCTTTAGAGTTCGCTCCATGCCACTGTTCTCAACGTACTAAGACTTCCTTTGCACAGAAGCCATGTGTTCATGAAAGAAAGCCTATGCAGCTGAGACTAGGCTCCCAACAGCAAAGCATGGATTGCCAACAGTTTCCTTTAAATGAGAAACCAGTGGTATCAACACCAGAGTCCATGGGGAACGTCTTAGGACCAGCACTGTCTAGTATCAAATTTTCAAATTTGATTCCAGAATCAGGAATTGAATCAATAAAAGTAACCCATCATCAGCATCAAACCATGGAATTAAAGAGCATGGCCTCAAGATAGAGTCAAGTCACAGATACCTGGAGGTAACTCCTGAGGCATTGTTTTAAGTCATGGATTCCATGAGGATGATTGACAAATTAAGTCCACATGGCATAGAACCAGTAGGAATAGCCCCAAAGCCACAATACCAAGTCATGGAATCAGTGAAGATGGATACACTGCATAACTATGAAGCCATAAGACCAGGATGTATGAGTCGAGGGGCACAGCAGACGGTTGTGGAAGCTGTGGAAATGATTCCCTAGCCTCAGCATAAAGACATGGGAACACTGACCATGACCTTGGGGTCACAGAATCAAGCCACAAAACACATCAGGATTGTTCCAAGTCCAGTACATCAAAATGCAATGGAAATTAGCTCAAGTGCACTGCCTGAAGACACTGAAGATACAAAAGTGTCTCCAGTGGCAAAACAAGCCATGGAT